CAAAAAATATTTTATTTCTGAATATTTTTTATTTCTGAATATTTTAAGCTTGTTTTATTTCTCTTAGATTTGTATATAGCTAAATGCTAATTCAATTTTTGCTTAGAATTTGTCATAGTTGACAGCATAAATCTCAGAAAATTTTTTTTTTCCTATTTAATCTTGATTTTATTGAATATAAACTCGTTCTAGAAATGGACCCATAGTTACAAGTTTAAGCGGTGCTAAAGAAATGTATGTATTTTTTTAAGAAAGCGGTTTGATTTGAAACATGCAATTTCAATGGACCTCTTAATGCTAAATATGAACGTTTTCTAAATTTTCAGAACATGTAAATCTAAATTTTCAGAAGTTATAAAGAATTTTATTAAAATAATATGTAATATACACAATCAAAATCATTTAAAACAGAGGGTCTATTAAGTTTTTGTATGCTATGTAATTACAAGTGTCGCATAAAAATATTCACCATTCTATATTACCTTGCTTCTGTTTATTGTCTTTTATGCGTGCCGAACTTAATTATACTATGACTAACTAAAAAAAAATTCTAATATTTTTGGCGCCTACCCGACTAGTACAAGATCATTTCCCACGCAGTAGATCGGTTAATTCTAGTCCGCAGTAGTTCATGAAATGCGGCAAATCGTGATTGCAAAAAATCTTAATATGCCAAAACCACCCCCCACCCCAGTCCTACATGACAATTACGACCACTTTGTCAAAGCTTTAAGATTACTAAGAAGAAGTAGGTTTAGGTGGGTGGCGCATTTACGTTGTAGATGTCTATGGGCTCCAGTAACCACTTAACAACAACAGGTGGGCTGTGGGGTCGACCACCCATCTAAGCAATAAAAAAAAAATAAAAAAAGTAGTAGCCCCAGAGCGACTACACCCTGTATATTTCGCCATAAATGCTTCAAAACCTATTTTTTTCCTACCTATTCTATTAACCTCGAGGGGTTATTCTAGATTTTTTTTTTTTTTTTTATTGCTTAGGTGGGTGGACGAGCTCACAGCCCACCTGGTGTTAAGTGATTACTGGAGCCCATAGACATCTACAACGTAAATGCGCCACCCACCTTGAGATATAAGTTCTAAGGTCTCAGTATAGTTACAACGGCTGCCCCACCCTTCAAACCGAAACACATTACTGCTTCACGACAGAAATAGGCAGGGTGGTGGTACCTACCCGTGCGGACTCTCAAGAGGTCCTACCACCAGTAAAAAACCGAGTTTCACCGAGTTAGTAGGTGAGCTCACGGGGCTCAAGCCGGGAGTGTTGCTAAGACTGGCCCTAGCAAGAGCAGTGTTTCGCAGAATCTACCACCGGATCGGAAACGCGACGCACTGAGAAGATCCGGCGAGACACTCAGTGAACTGTGTCTATGGGTTAATTTACTCATCGATCCTTCGAGGGTTCAGCGAGGACGGTGGCTGGTGTTTGAGGTACCTAAAAGCACCGTTAATGGATCGGGAGGATCCGTAATGACGTGCTTAGGGCAAAACCTATCGTAAAATAAAGTGTAGATATATATCTATAGAATTTTATTTCCCGAACTGTTAACTTCGAAAAAGTACTCGTTATATTACATTCAATTATTACGTCCAAAAGAATGCTCAGAGAACAGGAAGGAGAGATCACATAGAAAACAACTGGATATTTTCACTCAAGCATACCTACAGAGCTCTTATTTGCACATCATCATGAATATTGTTCATTTAGACGCCTATAATCATATATCCACACTCTAAAGAAAAGTCTATGGAACGTTAAATACTTAATTAGGCAGAGAAAACAGATTGTCGACAATTAGTTAAGACAGTGAACACCTAAATGCGGGGAGAGCGCTAAGCTACAGACCGTATGTGTGCAACTCCCGTAGACAATGGGTATTATCATTATCCCTTCAAAAGACTAAGGCCTGTCAAGGTAGTGTTTATGATTCATGGTAACTTCCGTGAGTAGCCTGCCCGACAAGTAAAACTTGATTCCTTGAACTAAATACATTATCAAAACGAACAAATGAACTCCTTAGCTTTTCACATTGATTTCATATTGATAACCGGATAATAACCGGTTAAAATCGCCTACGATCATCGGCGATCCGTGTAGTATAGCGCAATCGACGCCTACCCTAATGTATTCATTGTACTTAATCTATTTAAAATATGGTAGATGTCAAATAAAAATGACTACACATTTATTGCCCCAATTTTTTTTTTATTGTCAGGAGGAAATAGCCGGACTCCACTGGGGATGGAGGGTGGGGCATGTCGGAGTCGAACCGACTAAAACCTCCTGTCGCTCAACAACCAACGTCCAACCCTCGCATGAGACAGAACTCATGAAAAGGCAAGGGGAGGAGAGTGAAGCGTTTAGTGCGGAGCACATCTCTCCCATCACCCTCCCCCTCGGGACGCCGGGCCAGCGATCGTCGGCGCCACGACCACCAGCCCTCTCGGTCGGCAGGCTGTCCGAAGCCCGCCTAGATGGCACCGGTTTGAATAGGTTATCCTATAAAATACCCCGCTGGGTCAGAACCAGCGTGGGTCGCGGATAGCCGGCCTTCCATCACCCGGATGCTCTTGCGTAAAACGCGTGCAGAGCAGCTTGCACGTCGTCTTCTTAGGCCCCCTTCGCCGGGCCCCAGACCGACATATGAGGGGGACCCGAAACACTTAGAGGACCAGGGCTAGGGCGAGATCCGCCTCCCTGGCCCCCGCTCGACGGTGGCGGGCTTGTGCGTCTCTCACGCGCCCCGCCGCCTCCTTCTGCGAGATGGTGCACTCGCAGAAGTCGAGCATCGCCTTCCACGACTCGTCGTTGCCGAGCATCGATGCCACAACACTCGGCAACGACAAGTCGTTTCCTATTTTTGCGACGAGGACACGACGCCACCCCTCCCATGCGGGGCAGGCAACGAGCGTGTGCTCCGCCGTGTCCAAGTCGCAACCACAATGGTAACACTCTGCCGTCGGCTTGGCTCCGATCCGGTGCAGGAACTCACCGAAGCAACCATGCCCAGTGAGCACCTGCGTGAGCCGGAAAGTGAGGCGTCCTCTGTCACGATTCACCCAATCCACAAGAATCGGGCGAATCGCCTCGACGACGGTCCTACGACCAGCTGAAGGATCGGCCAGCGGCCTGGACCATGACTCCAGCACGGACCGCCGAGATTGGGCCCTCCGCGCTCTGACCACACTGGGGCTGGGACGCGCCACGCCCCGGGCACGAAGGTTAGCCCGCCACTGATAGTCAGCGGCGAGCGCCTCCGCCTCCAGGACCCAAGGTGGCTTCCCAGCCAGTACACACGCCGCCTCAAAAGTGATGGTGCGATAATCACGGATGACCCTGACCGCGATGGTGAATTGCCCCAATAGCCAGACAAAAAGGCCATGTTAATGTTAATAATAAAAAGCGGGATAATTCACACACGGCACATGCCCCCAAATTAGAAGAATTAGAATGGAATATTAAAATAAAGATAAACTTAAGAAAACCTCTAAGCTTGTCTGCGCAATGACAATAAACCAAAAATTCTTGGTAAAATTGTACCTTCTTTTCATAATTAACCACACTTTAGAAATTTACAAGCTAGTTACTTTAAAATCGTGTTGTATCGATCTATGTATGTAACGCAATCTTTAAAAGTGATTCAAATTCAAATTCAAATACAATCACAATCCTATAAATTGACAAAACTGGACCTCTTATCGGTAGTTCCCATTGAATAAGTATGAGCTTCAGTTCTATGTTTAATATAATAAAGAGTAATATATTTAAATTAAATGTGCGTATTACAGAAGGATACTCGCCGATGGAATTGTTAAGGTACATTTTGTAACATCCCTTAAGTTTTTGTTTTCTTTTAAAACAAGCTTACTATTGCGAGTTTTCGGAATCCGTCTAAACAGTAGAACTTTTAAATTAAAATTCAGTGTTACTATAATTGTGTCTATCAAAAATTTTCAATCGTTTTTTTTTAAACTGTCGCAACAGAAACTAAATCTAAGAAGCCATGGCCGCAATAAATTTCTAACATCGTTAAGGATAAGGAAACTTAGCATTATGAGTTTCCTCTAATATAATGTTGTTAAATACTTTAAGAGAGGGGAGGTAATAACTCAAGTTCAGTTCCAGCCACCATCTGCATCCGCCTTAAAGGTTGATGGATGCTAAAACGCACGGACAGAACGTGCAAATGTGTTATTTGCAGGAAAATTACATAATTGACGAAGCAAGGTGCTTTTTAAACGTAAATAATTCCTCGGATATTATTTTTAACACATCGAGAGTCAACCACGCAAATATACATAGGTATATTGTAGCTGCTATTTTCATCCGAGCATTTTATGTTGCATGACCCGCTATAAAGTTAAGCCTTATTTCTGTAAGGCTGTAAGGCTACGTGTGTAAAGCTAATTGATTCTATTAAAACTCTTGAGCTTAATTGACATTTTTCTAATACATACAAATAATTGAGTAGTTGATCGATTATATAGTATAATTAATTAAATTAATAATTGATCATATTAAGAGACTTCGGGCTTTAAGTTCCATAAATTAGCCGAGAATACAGAAACGTGAATAGGGAAAAGTTCGTTTACAAAGGGTTTTTATTCGGTTGGATGCCTAAAAATTGGAATCCTTTTTATCAATGTGTATGTACCAATGTACAGAATATATCCGCGAATGAAGAAATTTTTAGCCGTGAACATAGAAATTGGGTCGCATTTTTTTATTCCGCGAATAGTGGGAAAAAACGTGAACAAGGAACTGTATTTGTACGAAATTCGTTTGGTACACATGAATAATGACGTCATTGTTTTATTATAGGGCGTTCTTTCTTTAGTAACCTCTGAACGTATTCGTAAAGTAACTTAGGATTTTAACATGCTTAAAACAAATATAAAATTAGTATCAAAAGTGTATCCCTACATACTCTTTCCTTGATGATTACACAAATATTACTAAATCCTTATTTTCTTATTTGCAGAAAAGAAAAATGGCCTATCCTAGAACCGCATTCGTAGCACTTTTGCTATTGAACGTCGTATTCGAAGTCCTCGCAGCGCCCAGTTCGAGACGGACACGGGCAGCTTCCGCGACACCGGAAGAAGCCACCCAAGATGCGAAGCCTCTAGAAGAATCAAATGAATCCAGCAGCACCACGACACAGAAACCTTCAAATTTTAGAAAGAACAAGGCCCTCAATCTCTTCGGCTACTATCCTTCGTACTTGACGTCCAGCTTCGACTATTCTGATGACGACGACGACATCAATTTCAGCGCGAACGACGGCAATTACGAAGAAGAAGATTTGTCCAGGACTATCCCAACTAGACGTAGACAGCAGAACAAGAAGAAAAATGGAAACGGAGACACTTTCCCAAACGATAATATCAACTCATTGCAATACGATAACTCGCCTATATTCTACATTAGATTACCTCCAACTCCGTATATGTTCGTGCCCGGTTTGGGTTACGTATCGCAGCCACCTACTCTAGGTCCACCCATGTCTCCTATGATGCCCCAAGGTATGCCGCCTCAAGTTGCGGATCCATTCATCAATTTGCCAATAGATTTTGTTTCCAACGGAAAACCGACAGGGGTTTACCAATGGAGTGGTGCTCCGACTTATCCACAAGTTCCTCAGATGTCAGTTGATCCATACGGATATGGACCTCAGCCTATGATGCCACCACGGCCAAACTACAATCCGTCTTACCAACCAAAACCGAAACCCAAACCCAGCCCTCCAACTAACTCTAAAGTCACTAATCTCAAGGGTCAGTTTGTCTTCAATGGTAAACCTGGCGATAGTGTTTATGTTCTTCGAGACACTTACAATTCAATTTATTCGGATGCCTTGCAAAACTTCTACCCATAGACGTAAAGTGGCTGGGTAAGGTTAGGACTCGGATGGCTCGTATCGAGCTCACGTAGGTTATAACAAAAAGGGATCGTATTGCCTAATTAAAACGAAATAGAAAGCTTGGAAAGAAAGTCAGGAGATTACGAAACTTTCCCAGAAATCATTGTGAGGTCATAAAGCACGTTTAAATCAATGTGCCTTATTTTAAAACGTTTAAAGCAATTACACACATAGCTGACGAGTCGATAATAACAGCCTGATGTTTTTGTACGCGTTTGCGACTTGCATATCTTGTAAAAGCCGAAGTACTTAAAACGTGTTCATTATTAAATATTATCGAAACGCAAAATTGTAAAGTGATTCTCACTGAACAAAAAAGCTATTTAAAATGTGGCCTAAAAATCTTTATTTTAATATACGTTCTTGCTATTTTAAGTATTACCTTCACGAGAGTTCATGTTACGGTTTTATTCAATAATTCGGCATTTATTTTGTAATTTAAAATATCCAAGACGAGCATTGTACGCAAAAGATCTACGTATTTTAATGTGAGTAAATGCCTATCTGTATATTAATAAATAAAGTATTTCAGTTCAGAAATTTCAGCTAAGAAATTTCAGTCAAGTTTAGTAACGTTAACGTTAAAATTATTTTAATATTTATTTTAGATTTACTTATTATTTTATACTAACTTTTATTTCAAATAAATCGGTATAAATCTAACAACATGGAAATTAAATATTATTCAAGTAAATACATAGATTTGTAATCTAGTTTTAAAAATATTAATATTTAACAGACGTCCACTAGATAATAAAGCTAACATTTAATTATAAACTAGTTTGTACCAATTGCCTTCCATTTTCAAGAGAAAAAGCACATAGTAATCTTCTACATATTATTAAAACAATATTGTAATAACTGTAATTGAATTTGCAATATGTTTAGTTTTGCCTGCTAAGTAATTGTTCAAGATGACACTAGTTATTCTTATTTTTTATTGAAATGTGCTAGGGAATTAGTGATGTAAGTATATCTATAGCAAATGAAAATCATTTCAACTAGCTTAGCTAAATCATTGATATTTTTGTAATTCAGTAGGCGGCGGCATAGAGTTGCTGGCCTCTATGAGCGACTATGGCCGTGCCGCATTATTAGAAAAAACAACATAATTAACACTATAATATTATTAAACTGTTTATATACGTCTTCTACTTATTTTTTCAATATGCGGGCTGTATGCTCGTTTGCCTACGTTCGCCAGGTAAAATAAATATGTACATTTATAAAAGGTATTTATGATCTTTATCTTGATTAATTTAGGTTTTTTTAATACGTCGCTCATTAGATAAAATGAATTTTATTATAGTGTATTATTTATTTAAACTAACTTAACATACTGCCTATTAACTGCCAGTACATTTTATTATTTATGAAATTAAGTCGATTGTGTATTAACTAAACTGTTATTTAACTTAGTCAAATATTGTCACAATTATTATTACAATAGTATTTTTAATTTTATTAATAACATACTAATGTACCTATGTACTGTTAAGGTATAAGGAAACATGTCTAAATATTTTAAGAGTGTTATGTTTTTGATACTCAATTTTTATGCTGTAGTTGATAGAATTTATAATAAATTAATTTTATCATCACGCTAATGAGTTTTAATTTATTAACATAAGAACCAGTTTTTATTTTTATTGAATTAACGGAGAACACCGAATCGTGTAGTCTTCCACGTGAACTCCCCTAAAGGGTTCCCGGGGTAACCATTTTAGGCAATGGCGCGTTTTGGTGATATCGANATACTCAATTTTTATGCTGTAGTTGATAGAATTTATAATAAATTAATTTTATCATCACGCTAATGAGTTTTAATTTATTAACATAAGAACCAGTTTTTATTTTTATTGAATTAACGGAGAACACCGAATCGTGTAGTCTTCCACGTGAACTCCCCTAAAGGGTTCCCGGGGTAACCATTTTAGGCAATGGCGCGTTTTGGTGATATCGACGCCGTCTGCCACTACAGACGGGTCTCTGCATTGCACCTATTAAGTAAGTGTCATTAGGGAGAACGCCCTCAGTGCCCAATTGGTCATAAGTAGATAGGTACCGAAGCTCATAGGAATCACAACGTGAATGCCGCTACCTTGTATAGTCATAAGGTCGAGGTCTCAATTATATTGTGTTAGGCAACTGTTTTATCATTCGAATTGATAATTGACAATTTTGAAGCATTACTGTATAAATTTCACAAATCTTAACTGAAAACCAATCAGTTAGGTACGCAGTAATAAACAATTTAAATTCGTAACAAATAGTAATTCACTACGCAACCTACCAGAAACTCCAAAAACCCTCCATTACGAGCTCGGTCTATGAAATAAGTAATATCATCATTTCGAAATACTTGTTGTTGTTATTATTGTTGTAGTCCTAGGGTACCTCGCTGCTATACAGGGCCTTTACAAGTTGTCTTGACTCTGCCTTGCGCTTGCTCCTTGACATCACTCCAGGTCATGCCGGCAGTCATCGTCTCGCTTTCCGCGGTACGTCGCCAAGTGGGTACAAAACGATCAAGTCTTCTCCTGCCACGCGGTTGCCACTCAAACGCGATTGATGCTGCGTTGACAACGCTGCGCCGTAGAATTTACGCCATTCGAAATACCTTTTATAAAAGTTTTTTTTTTATTTCCATTATTATATTTTAATTACTTTGAAAAAAAATTGGACTCGACATAATTTAGTTAAAAAAATTAATATTTCTCATTTAGTTCTTAGCTACTGTTACAAATTGTCAAATTAGGAAAAAACTAGAAATAAAATTTGCAAATTGTTCAATTATATTACAACATAATATACATATAATATTACAACATAACAAATATGCAAATTTGCAAATGAAAATTAGTCGATTTTATTAGTAGATAAAAAATCGTTCTCAAGTATCTTTTAAAACTCAGTAGCCCCGACAACCGACATTGTCAATGAATGTCACTGTCAATTTTAATGTCAAAATTCAGGAAGAACATGCCCATGTTTTACTGTCATGTCAAAATCGGACAAGTTTACCTCCTCATACATATAAATAAAGTAAAAATAATAAAATAAAAATAAAACATAACAAGACTGTCAGTTCATACACCTCGAACGCAAAGCTTTGTTAGTTTACATGATCGGTTTGATAAATTGTTGTAACAGACGTGTGCTTTAAAAATAAAATTTAAAATGAAAGTACTACAAAATTGTCGTGAGTGAACATAACGTTTGATAATGTTAAACAACACCATTTAATTATAATTGAAGGACTGTACTAAACGCAATGTTCCGGAGCAGAAGCTGGTTCGGGACTGGCTGGGGCCGTCCCAAGAACCCCCATTCATTGGAAAGACTAAAATATTTACACAATATACTTTGCAAAAATACAACTGTTTCTGAAAGCAACAGAGGAACGCTTGTGGAATCGTTAAGGTGCATAGCGGAGATACTCATATGGGGCGATCAGAATGACAGCTCAGTTTTTGAGTAAGTAAACAATAAATTGTTTACGTTGTTAATATCTTTGTCATAGCCCTCTCATGTACATTCTTGAGTATGTTTTAAAATTGATATGTAATTTATTAAAATTTATTATTTGATTAGTATAATTAGAAGTAGATAGAAGGAGAGGTATTGTATATATTTACCTAAAACTGTATGAGTGGTTGGCATAAGATTGGCTGTCCCTGCTATTATTAATGACCATAAGTATCGATGACTACACAACATCACTTACTTAATTACTACTTGCTGCTTACCTAATTATTAAGGCAATATAAATATTGAAATACACATATTCATAATTATTAATAGTATATTCAAAACTCAAGACTGTATTTCAACCTTGGAATTTAATTTAATTTAAGTATGAAATTGATTTCTCTAAGGCTACAAGTATTGATGAATGAGGAATATTCTGATTATACATTAGAAATGGGTAAATTATTGTTGTAAAAGGTTACATTACTAGCAACTTTAAATACATATTTGGGAATCTGGCCTGCCTTTGTGTAATTGAACTCATTATTTTGAACAAGTTTGTCTCTAGAATGTAAAAAAAAAAAAAAATGTTACTAAAGTGATATGCAATCTTTTTCGATATTTAGTATTGCCTGTGAAATAAGTGAGCTGTATTTCTTAAAATTATCTTTTTATGTGTGTGGAAAGGATTGTGGACAATCCAGGCCAATAAAATCTACCCATGTTATTGTCAGCTCTACTGATGCTAGTACTGATTTGATATGTGATGGCACATGTCGCCTTTTCGCATTAAAAGTGTACAATTTCCAAAAATATTTAGAATTAAGTTAATATGCGTAAACATTTGGTATCACCAGTATTTTTCTAATAAATAGTGTCAAAAGAGTGTAGTTTCGTTTGTTTTGTTACCTATGTTTTGACTACTATTAACAAAATTAATACATAATTTATTCTTACTTAAAAGACAGATAATGTAACTGGTAAAAAATAAAAATAAATGTTGCACATATGATTAATATTAAAAATATTACATGTTAAACCTTTAAAACACTCTCCTGTAAAATTAGTAAGTTTTGAGATTATACAATTTTAATGCGAGAAGACGAATTGTGTTCTTGAATAGTTAATTTGCATCTGTCTCGCACAGTACCTAACTCCTGTTTCAAATTAGTGAAGAGATAGAGATTAAAAACAAAAAGGCAGACTCATGTAGGCAGACTAGCATACAGCCCACCTGATGAGGAGTGGTTACCGTCACTCATGGACATCAGCAATGCCAGTGGCAGAGCCAAGCTGCTATCTAATGTTTAATTAAACATGTTGTTGTCGTTTCATACTTATCTGTTGGATTAAAACAAACTATTTATATTTATAGTTTCTTCTTAGAGAAGAACATGTTGTCATATTTCTTGAAGATAATGAGACAGAAGTGTGGAGGCTCATCATATGTATGTGTGCAGCTTTTGCAAACCCTGAATATACTGTTTGAGAACATCAGGAATGAAACATCACTGTGTAAGTTCTATACATTATCGTAAGATTTATTTCTCAACATAATTTTGAGATAACGATGAGGAATGAATTCAAGAATTATGTGCATTTCATTGATAAATTCTCAAAATTCGTAATTAATATTATTATTCCACATTAATCTTGCGTATATCTTCTTCATTGTTTGTTTCTGACATTTTAAAATATTTTACAACAATTTACAAGTTTTTGTAGTAAAGGTCAAATGGTTTACTTAATCAAGTATAAAATCTAAAAATTCTATTCTTTATTTAAATAAGATAGAACTAGAAAATATATAATTGATCTTGAAGTCATAGAAAAAAAAAACACTGATGCCTTAAGTAATTATTCATGACCACAGAAACTGTAATGTAAGAAGCAATAGACTAATAAGCATCTTTATCAAGTAATTATTTTTAAATTTGTCACACTTAATTGTTGTCAACATCAAACGTAGGCGTTATGTTCGGGCAATGCAAAATCATAAAGAAACTAAATGATAATAATCGTTTTTGCTTTTAGTTTGCGTGTTTAATATGGCATTGATCGAGTTGTCAGCGGTTAAGACCGTATCAAATCACATGGCAATAGTGACGTTTGTCATTTGAATCTTATATCTCAGGCTACAGGCTCTAATTACCGCTTTACCCAGCATAGGCAATTAATGCGAAGAGTGACCGAGCTCACGACCCACTTGGTGTTAAGTGGTTACCGGAGCCCATCCACAGCAAAACGTGAATGCCGCCATCGACTTTGTCACTTCGGTTATCACACACACCACACATTTCAAATGTCATAGTAATTACGAAAAATTATAAGTTTTTCTGATTTGATTTTAACCCTTTAAGGTCCAAAATTTTTTGGACACATAGTTCAGTCTTACATTAGTTTTAAGACCACAAAGAGTTAATACGCAATGTTATTCCTTCACCGTGAAAGTCATTCGTGAGCTTGAGTTAAGTGCGGATTAGAAACATTGGTACCTGCATGCTGGATTTGAATGATGGATGCATCGGAGCGGCAAGCCGCCTCGCTTCATCCGAGTTTACCTGACATCATCGCCATTAACGTTAGAACGACGACGAGGTACACAAAAAAGGGACATCCGAAAGAAAATGCTTCATTAATTGTTTTCTACTTTCTATTTATCTATATCAGACCAAATTGCCCAAAACTCCTCATTACGAATCCTCCCGATCCATTAACGGTGCTTTTAGGTACCACAAGCACCGGTCACCGTCCTCGTCGAACCCGTCGCTTGCGACGAAGGGCTCGACGAGCGAATTAACCCATAGACACCGCCCACTGAGTTTCTCGCCGGATCTTCTCAGTGGGTCGCGTTTCCGATCCGGTGGTAGATTCTGCAAAGCACTGCTCTTGCTAGAGTCAGTGTTAGCATCACTCCGGTTTGAACCCCGTGAGCTCACCTACTAGTTAAGGTTACGCTGAAATAGTCTCTCAAAGCTATCAGCTTAGGTAGGTAAAAAAAAAGACCAAATACTCGATTTATTCCAATACGTGCAGTAAAAATCGGTATCATTTTACGGAAAGACCAGTTTGTATCACTTTCAACTGTTTTTTTACAATTACTGTTCAATATATTTTTAGAAATATATGAATCAATATGTACAATAACTAATTCAACACAATGATATATTTATAACCGATAGCAGAAAGCGGACTATGAAATACATATAAAAAGGTTATCTACGACATACATATATTACTCACGTTTTTATTTACAATAAATTCATTTTCCTATATGAAACTTCATTTAATGAACTGTATGCATCTGTTACTTCGAGATTGCGTGCATATTCTTTAAAATTGTCCGAGTAATCGCGCTGACTTAAACGAGTATATATACATTAGCATAGTGGGACGCTATTAGTGAAATAAAGCTTGTAATATACATGTTCTTTCTTAAGATTTTTTCCGTACCTATTTCCTCGCAGCCTAAGGCACTATCCCAAATACGCGCGGACGGGTAACAGTGTTCACGGGCTCAACCTCAGAGAATTTGCTGACACTAGCCTTAGCAAGAGCAGTGCTTCGCAGAATTTGCCGCCGGATCGGAATCGCGACCCACTGAGAAGATCCGGCAAGAAACTGCTTTTGCTAGGGTAAATGTTTCCAAATTCATTCAGGCCGAGACCTGTGAGCCACCAGAACAGTCCGTGAAGGCTACTGGTAGCTGAGTAGAAAAAAAACTGTCTCCATCATCTGTTACTAGCTTGAAGGAAAGCTACATCAAGCTTACCGAATATATGTTTTTGTAATGAAAACCAACATTAAATGTACTTTTTAGTCTGACAATAGTATTTCAAAGGCTTCGAATTCGTTACAGTTTTACAATCCTTTATTTTTCAGATTACCTCTTAAGCAATAACCACGTTAATTCTATAATAGTGCATAAGTTCGATTTTTCCGATGAAGAAGTGATGGCATATTACATATCATTCCTGAAGACATTAAGTTTAAAACTCAACAACCACACGATACATTTCTTTTACAATGAGGTGAGTAAATATTTAAATTAATTAAATTTCCTACGTATACATGTTGAAGTAGTCGTGGCCTAAAGGATAAGACGTCCGGTGCATTCGTATGTAGCGATGCACCGGTCTTCGAATCCCGCAGGCGGGTACCAATTTTTCTAATGAAATACGTACTTGACAAATGTGCACGATTGACTTTCACGGTGAAGGAATAACATCGTGTTATAAATGAAACCCGCAAAATTATAATTTGCGTAATTACTGGTGGTAGAACCTCTTGTGAGTCCGCGCGGGTAGGTACCACCGCTCTGCCTATTTCTGCCGTGAAGCAGTAATGCGTTTCGGTTTAAAGGGTTGGGCAGCAGTTATTACTATTCTGAGACCTTATAACTCATATCTCAAGGTGGGTGGCGCATTCACGTTGTAGAGGTCTATGGGCTCCAGTAACCACTTACACCAGGTGGGCCGTGAGCTCGTCCATTCATCTAAGCCATAAAAAAAAGAACCTAAATATATAACTAGACTTTGTTCTTAACATTTATCCAGCCAGTATTAAAAATTTACTTTCCATTACGTTTTATGTTAGTATTCATTTAAACTTACGAGAACAACCTTTGCAAATCTTGCTGATTTAAATTTATATCTACGTATGTACGTACGTACGTACGGTTTATATGAACTATTTTATTATTATAAATATGCCTCATTCCATTCGACATTAGGGTTGCCTGGTTTTTTCAGTTTATAAGGGGTAAATGCTTAAAAAAATACGGGAATTTCGTTTTTTACCCGGGACAAATAAAAAACAATAAGAAATTATACAAAATTATATAGTGACATTCTTTATATATTCCTTGATATTTCTGCGAAGAGAAAGTCAGTTTTAACATATTTTTATCGGTTTTAACATATTTATAAAAATTAATACAATTATAATCGTACGATTCGAAAACGGGACAGAGTTAGTCCCGCCGTGACATTTTAAACTAAGCCTAAAATACGGGACGACCGTGGAAATACGGGACATCTGGCAACCCTATTCGACATCGTTAGCAATAGTCGCCGTATTCTGACCTTATTTTCTTATCTAAGTCTATACAACATTCCTCTTTCAAGAGTACTGGGGCATGCTCCAAGATTAAAAGAACCTAAGATCGATAAATAGATTCCACAAACCTGATCATACACGGATATAATATAGGACATGATACAAATATATATTTTATTAGCGCATAGTCGTCAGTAGAGTGATACGTCATCACTCGTATACGTTATGCCATTAGATTGCGTCATGAAATGTTTCTATCGTGTTATTGTTAATTAACACGCTTTTGTTAGTATAGAAATAGATCTTGGAATTAGAGCCTAACCTAGTTGTAATTGGCTTATCGATTTGAATTTGAAGTACATCGCCCGATCGTGATAACAATACAATAATTTCGTTTTAAACATTTAGGTGAATAATCGTCAAATGCGTTTTTCATCGACTTGTAAAACATAAACAAAGATTTTTAAATTAATTTTATACTAACTGATCCATCTATACTTTTAGATATTTCTAAATCCTTATTTCAAAATCGATATTTCAAAATCATTGCTTCATATTCTACCTTTTAAAAATGAGAATTATCATCAAAAAAGACAGAAGACAATCGGTTAGCAATATGAGATAAACGTTAAAGAAAATTACTTGCAATGAGAATATCATCGTTTACCATGAGACGCTACTTTTTAATCTCGGTTGTAGTAAAATCGATTATTATGCCCCTTAAACAGAGATAGGCAGTTTTTTGGTACCAACACCCGTGGTCTGGCAACACACGCTACCATTAGTAGATATTAAAAATTAAGGGCAAGAATAAAATATGTTATGCAAGAAGGCTGAGGCTAAATACGCAATTAAAAACCTTTATTTTTGTATTAATAACCAGACAATATTATCACTTGCGGCATGATAACCCTTATAAATTATCATCGTGGAAGCAGTAAATTATAGTCCTGATCCGGCTCATGTATGCTTAGTCAGCGTGGACGTCCTAGACACGTTCTTGCCGATCCATCTGACCCATTAACACGTTTGTTAAACGCTTGCAACTCTAACACTAGGATCGGGCTTAGAGACACAGATAACCAACCGTACATGTCAAACTCATCAATGAGCTCCTAGCCTATGTCTTCTCAGTGGGTCGCGATTCCGATCCTTCAGTTGTAGATGTATTCATGAAGCAGGTGACCTTGAGCAGTCAGGTCTCCTAGCTCTACACCCGGCTAAACCCGTATTTACCCAACCGTCCTACTTTTATAGGAAAGGTCTTCAACCTACCTTACCTTACGAATTAGAACGCGTGATACCTACGCAAATTAGTACATGTCATCGTGAACAGGCTCAGAATTTACCGTGTCAAGGGTACTCAATGGTGGGAGTTAGGTAGGAAAATTGTAAATGGTAACAAACATTACTATTGTTTTTAACTATCTCGAAGGTGAATGTTAGTGACTCTTGCTTGTGGCGAGAGATTAGATTGCTGGGTCATAGTATTCTTACTGGAAGAGAGCTCGGTGAGCAACCCCACTATTACTTTTATAATCTATCGCTCAATACCCTCTAAGTATTTTTTTTTATTGCTTAGATGGGTGGACGAGCTCACAGTCCACCTGATGCTAAATGGTTACTGGAGCCCATGGACATCTAAAACGTAAATATGCCACCCACCTTGAGATATAAGTTCTAAGATCTCAGTATAGTTACAACGGCTGCCCCACCCTTCAAACCGAAACGCATTACTGCTTCACGGCCGAAATAGGCAGAGCGGTGGTACCTACCCGCGCGGACTCACAAGAAGTCTTACCACCAGTAATTACGCAAATTATAATTTTGCGGGTTTCACTTTTATTACACGATGTTATTCCTTCACCGTGGGAGTCAATCGTGAACATTTGTTGAGTACGTAATTCATTACAAAAATTGGTAACCGCCTGGGATTCGAATACAAGTGCATCGCTCAACACGAATGCACCGTCTTATCTCTTATGCCACGACGACTTCAAAACTTCAGTAACTCGGAAATCAAAATATTATACATAGAATCTTAACTATTTTAAATACAACATATTTATTTATTGATCGATGTGATATAAATAATGCATATGCGCTTAGCACGTGTCTCTGCATAGTACTATCGTTACTACGGCGACGGTACTAGGTCGATTAACCCGATTTAGCGAATTTCGAACACGGCCGGTTTCACCTATAAACTAATTGAACTACTAACTAAACGACTGCTTTCTAGCTCTTGGACGCTAATGGCACATTATTAATATGAAATACGATAAACTAGATAAAATAGCATTATTTGTATTTGAATAACATAAATACGGAATTTTCTAAGGCCAGCCTTGTTACCGATATGTCCACATTATTCGATATTAATGTGCCTACTTACTTTCTGATTTTATTGTCGATACGAGATCCGGATTAAGCTGAAGGCGCTTAAATTTGTTTAAGAAGCCGTAAGGCTTATTTTTGATTGTCTTTATAGACAGGAGAACGTACCGCACATTTAATGCTGAGTGGTTACGTTACCATCATTCACGTTGGCTACACCAGGATCATAGCCATATGCGTATACTGTAATTACAAAATGAAAAAAAATCTAAATTAATGTCACGATTGTTGCCAAAACCGCCACTTTGAAGAATTGGGCTTTGGAATGAGCTCCCCTCCACGCTGTTTCTCGAGCCCTATGACATGTCTCTTCAAACGGGGCTTATGGAGAGTACTTAACGGTAGGCAGCGGCTTGGCTCCGCCCCTGGCATTGCTGACGTCCATGGGCGATGGTAACCACCCACCATTAGGTGGGCCATATTCTCGTCTGCCTATAAGGGCATTAAAAAAATAGGACTTCCACCATAAAGCCTCCTGTACACTAATCACATGCAACATTATTTGTACAATAGATATTACACACCCCACAATTTCGATTCGTCCTCCCTGATAAAGAATAAAAAGTGCCTACAGCCGATTTTTATTTATTTATTTTATTAGGCTCACAATACACATCACAAGCTAAAGATACATAAAAAACACAAATAAAAAGCAACAAAATCTGGCTTGCAACATAAGCTATGTGCGCACGACAAAGAGATGAGTTCGAAGTCCATATTGAATTGAAAGGCTATCTTGATCTAACTTAAAGTTTGCGTTTAGTTTTTCTAACTTAAAGTTCATAAATACTTTGCAGCATACAAAGGATTTTCCTCTTTACACCGAGGCAATAAAGTTCTTTAACCATTCAGAGTCGATGGTTCGGATTGCGGTGCGGACGCTCACCCTTAATGTGTATAGAGTACAGGATGCCAGCATGCTTAGATTTATAAGAGACAGGTGAGTTAAAACTGCTCTAGATTGAAAACAGAATTTCGTCGCTGTCAAACCAAAATCTGCTATGTGCAAAAACTGTATTTTCAATTAAGGAGTAAAACATTTTCGTATAAAATTTTACTAGATGATGGCCGATCTTTGCTCGGTTTTTTTTTTGATAACGCCATCTTGTTGTGTCTTTAAAGCGGTTAATTGCCCTCAATTAAGAAAAATAGTATTATTATTCGCCAATAGATGTCGGGAAGTGTTGATTATTGAAAACACGAATAAAACAATATTTTCTGAAAATAAATCGTAGCTAGATCGATTTATCGCCCCCCCAATTCCTCTGTAGGTATACTAAATTTTATGAAAATCGTTGGAGCCGCTTCCGAGATTCAAATTATATAGGTATACTTATATATTAATATACAAGAATTGCTCATTTAAAGGTATAAGATATGAAGGTGAATTTTTAAGAACTATATCAAATGAAAGCTATATGTACATATTAAAACTATAGATACATAACAGTTTTTTTTTTTATACGGTAGATAGGGCTGTGAACTATACGAAAAGGTCAAAAAGTAAAAATCTCAAAAAGTGCAGATTTTGGTTTGACAACGACGATTTGTGATATTACGTGAATATTAGTCAGCAACTTTTGGACTTAAACGATGCTAGTGAAATATTATAATAATTTCAGGACGGCGGCGCCATATTTTAGTAATTTGGTCTGGTTTATCGGAAAACATATATTGGAGTTAGATACTTGTGTCAGGAACGACGCTGAGTAAGTAATTTAGTTTTAAAACAGAATAAAAAATATGTCCATTTATATTAGAGGTAAACATAACTGATTTATCAAGAAATATGTTTTTATTCAAGGCGCAATATAGTAACTTAACTGTATGTTTACTTACTTACTGGTGGTAGGACCTCTTGTGAGTTCGCACGGGTAGGTGCCACCACCCTGCCTATTTCTGTCGTGAAGCAGTAATGCATTTCGGTATGAAGGGTGGGGCAGCTGTTATAACTATACATGAGACCTTAGAACTTATATCTCAAGGTGGGTGGCGCATTTAAGTTTTAAATGTCTAGGGGCTCCAGTAACCACTTAACACCAGGTGGGCTGTGAGCTCGTCCACCCATCTAAGCAATAAAAAAAATGTATTTGTTAAATAAAAAATAACACGAAACCGTTTTCGATAGCCATCAATCCCAGCAAAAATTGGACGACTTAGTTGCCGAACATCTGGACCATCTACACTACATTAACGACATCCTATGCCTAAATATACCAGATCTTAACGACGTGCTCACGGAACATCTTCTACATAAACTGCTGATACCCTTGTACATTTATTCTTTGACCTCCGAATCGACTAAAAGACCGTCTACGGCGCCTCCCTACAATAGAGATCATCTGCAAAATATAGAAGTTATAACAAGGAGCTTAGAGGCCATTTTGACGGGGAAAAACAGCGAAATGTCGCCTTCTAGAATGAACTTCCCGAGACAAAGAATCGAGAGCGAAGAAGAGAGACCTTCTGTGTCATGTGTGGTTGCCCTGTTTCTCTTATCGCAAGTGTTCCTAATAATAACACACGGCCCGATTGTGCACGCGTTGGCCTGGATCTTATTGCAATCAGACTTATCGGTGTTGGAAGAAGGAGCTACGAAAATTCTCGAAATGTACATCAGTACCGCTAAGCCCAATGTCAAATTGGAGTTTTCGAAGCCGCAGATGAGTCTAGAGAAGGCTTTAGAGAATAATTCTGGCGAACGCGATTACACTACACCGGAATACAGTGGCTGTAAAACGTTCAGTTTCGACGACAAAGATACAGATCATTCGAGCTGTGATCTCGATCCTGAGTTGGTATCGAATTCGCTTCCGTCCACATCTCATATAAGCGAAACGTCGAGTATAGCTCACGACTCGACTGAAGATCTCGTGACTCAAATTCATTCGGTTAAATCGAGTGTCGTTCACAATGAGAACATGCCGGATTCTCCGCTGCCCGATTCTGGTATAGAATCCAGTTCTACGAAATCCAATTCGGAATTCAACAACATAACTGATGAAGAGAAACAGCAATTGCTCGGAGTCACAACTAGTACACCAATAAACAGATCCGATTCGCTAGAGAACGTATTGGAGAAAGAGAATCGAGAAATCGCCAAGAGGCCGTTTCTAAAGACGATCTTTGATTCTTTGGATTGTGGCGAGAATGATTATAAAGCATTATTTGCTCTTTGCTTATTGTTCGCGTTGATAAATAACAAAGGTGAGTCGTTGGTACGGATTATAATATAAAATAAAAGTAATGCTTGTCCGTTTCTTTCTAATCAATGTTTTTTCTTTACTTGCTTCGACGGCTATTAGTGGGTAAGAATATATTTCTAGTATTCGTTATCATATTTTGTTCTTTTTCTCCATATCTAAGAGTTTGTGAGTTTTAAGGTGTCAACACAGAACTACTTGATACGCTGCTTTGTCCCGAAGAGGAATTGTCTCATTTGAACTCAACGAATACGTCGGGCCGTGAAATTGTAGAGAAAAGCGAAGGATCATCGACATCAATTTCTTCTACTCCTACAAAAAAAACAATGCAGAGTTTTAACTCACTATTGATTTATAAGCTAATGGCTATTGCAAATTTGAGCTGTAAACCTAGTAAGTATGAACACAAATCCAAATTTACATTTTTTATTCACACATAAACTCCACGGACTGTATGACGATTCGAAAATTATATGTCTATCTTTTTCATTATCATCAAATTAAAATGCTTCTTTATATTGAGCCTTTCAAAAAAATAGGTATGTGGTGGGAACACTGGATGCTTGAAAATCCATTCTTCCAGTCCAGTCTTCTTCTAGTCTTTATTCCAACAGTATAAGACATAAAATACAATGTTGGAGTTTGGTTTACGATGATAGTCTCACCGATTTCCCGCCACTTTGATTATTCATGCCTATTGGTCCGTCTTGCCTACTTCAACTTCGAAGCAATTCTGGGTACCGGTTTGAAGGGTGGAAAGAAACAAAAACGCAAGTAGCAGTAGTTTTTTACTAGTGGTAAGACGTCTTGTAAGTCCGCACGCGTAGGTACCACGACCCTGCCTATTTCTGCCGTGAAGCAGTAATGCGTTTGTAGCCGTTGTACTGTTAAAAAGTGAGACTTACAACTCATGCTTCAAGGTGGGTTGCGGCATTTACGTTGTAGATGTCTATGGGCTCCGGTAACCGCTTTACACCAGGTGGGCCGTGAGCTCGTCCACCCATTTAAGCAATAAAAAAAAGTGATGATGCAAGATTTTCTGTATCGCAAACCCTTGAAATGTAGCCCCAATCATAGTAGATCCCTCTGATCGTCGGTGGAAATAGAGAAATAACAAAACCACCGCGTCCCCAGCCTCTCAGGTCCGCTTGGTCACTCTGGAGTTGAGCGTGACGTTAATGCGCATCGCAATGCAAGGGACTAGGGGTCCCGCGCCGTCAGCTAACGGGAGCTCACGGTCAGCGACGGGCCACCCCGGCCCGGGCTCACGGAGCGTCATGAGCCGTCACGTGGCCGCCGCGGACACGTTACGTGCGCGGGCCGCAGCGCTCGCACGTAACTTCTACAAGTGCGACGATATCTTCTTGGACATGTTTGAAGATGAGTGAGTGGATACAGAATTATTTGCGATTTCCTCTTGGATTGTGTTAAAAAAAAAATATAATTATTTGTCACTTCTCAAAACCCCCTATTCGTAGTAATTGATTGTGTGAATACACCCTGAAGTAATTGAAATTGTCGTAATTACTAATACTTGAGTAATGAGGGTGGAGGGGGAGGGTGTAATCGAGGGTTGAAAGAAAGGTTTAAGCGACATTTCGCTTAATACCCCACATTTATCTTTGTAATGAAGAGTCCGTTTTATTGGGTATTACTATCAACAGTTCGATGTTTTTAATTGAACTTTGATATACCGATAACCCACCTTGACTTGTCTGCACCGCTATTGCTTGACTGGTAGACAGTGCCTTAGTTCGCCAATGTATCACAATACATTCTCACTCCTTTACTGTGCACGCGGTCAGACTGTGGAATTCGTTGCCGGCTGACATCCGAGTTTGCAAGTCTGTTTCTGTTTTTAAATACAAGGTCAAACAATTTTATCTCTCATCAACCGAATGATCATGGTTCTATACTCTTCGCATATACGAGTGTTACTGTGTTACTTATAATATTTGCTATGTGTATGTGCTNAACCGAATGATCATGGTTCTATACTCTTCGCATATACGAGTGTTACTGTGTTACTTATAATATTTGCTATGTGTATGTGCTATAATTCTCATGTTGTATTTGTTATTTTAGTTATGTGTTATTTGTTCTACACACACTTATCACTTTTTATTATTATTCTCATTATCCTCTCGCAGGTCTGCTGGAAGAGATTTCTCAAAGAAATAAGGAGTGCCTTTGTACATAATTTTCCTATTACTCTGTACTGTGTCTTGTTTTCTGTGTGTACATAAATAAATAAATAAATAAATAAAATAAATTGAAGGTAACAAACAAAATAATATCCAGGTACTGTGAGATGAGCAAGCGTCCTCTGAACGTGGAATGGCTATGCATGGATGCGGCAATACTGCTTCCTCCCACACGCACGCCGATGTCTGGCATTGCGTTTGCTAAGCGACTGCCGAGCGGGGAGGTGAGATAACATCACCATTTTAACACTACTACTATAATTAATTGAAATTATAAGTTTGTACACTATTATGATTCTATTGTCAAAGAGATTGTCACTAGAGGTCCCGCAGTAGTCGAAATTCGACTATAATTAATTGGAATTGTAAGTTTGTACACTATTATGATTCTATTTTATACTTCTATAATCACAGATTTCGCTAAGACTACACTTTAGACAAATATTAATAAAGACAAACCATATTTATTTATTCTCTATTTGACCACAGAAGCAGTAAGAAAAGTTTGACAATAAATAAATAGTATGCATGTGTGTGTCAAATGCACGGTAGTGGGTGTAATGTTTTTTTATTTTTATTGATTTAATGTATTTTTTATGCATAATTTAATAAAATATTAACATTCTGTACCTACTCCTTCTCTATGTTCTCTATAAGTGAGGGAAATTTCATACTCCTCCGTCCGCGCAAGTTTCGTAAAAAGGGGTCCAAAGTTTTTGCTTCACGTATTAACATATAGATTTTTTTAATGATTAGACGGGCTACCGGAGTCCGTAGACATTAACAACTTAAATACCGCCATTCACCTTGAGTTCTAAATCTCAGTTCTGTAGTACAACGACTAGCGCACCCTTCGAACTGGAACGCATTATTGTTTCGTGGCAGACGTAGTTTGAGTAGTTGTACCTACCCGCTCGGGCTCTCAAGATACCCTGCCACAAATAAATACATCTATGTAACAATACGTCAGGCTGTAGGAAACTTTGTACCCCATTTTACGAAAATTGCGCGGACGGAGGAGTATGAAATTTCTCACACTTATAGAGAATATAGAGAACGAGTGCAGAATACTAATTTTTTTTTTTAATTATGCATAAGAAAAACATTAAATTAATAAAGAAAACATTACACACGCTACCATGTATTTGACACACACACGCGCTTGTATATTTATTGTTAAAGTCTGTGGTCAATTTCAGTATAGATTAATATTGTTTGTCTTTAATATTATTTGTCTATAGTGTAGTCTTGGCGAAATCTGTGACTATAGAAGTATAATAATAGTCTGACAATAGAACCAAAATAATGTTCAAACTTATAATTTCAATTAATTATAGTCGATTTCGACCACAGAGTGACCACTGGTGCATATAATTGTGCATTGTTGATAGCATTATTTGTGTGTGCAGCGGATGGTATGGCGTATTGTAAGACCACACCTCAAGTACCATTATCGCGCTAATCTCAGCCGAGAAATGTGTTCATGTCGTTATTGATGATTGTTGATTCGTCATCAGCGAGATCGCATGTTTGTCTTTCTTCGAAGACCATACATTTGTATGTAGGTTGAGTTAGCTGGGCTTAAACATCCGAATAAACCTATGAAAGACGCTTCGAACTTAAGTTCTGAGCAATGCTAATAATATTTTTCTTTTATGCCCCAATCTCAGATAGAGAGAGCCCGTAGAGCGATAAGATCGTTCTTCCTAATACGAGACCTGTTCTTGAAGTTGAGTGGGATACCAGAGAACCAACTGCCTCTGACGAACCCGGCACCGTTTGTCGAAGTCGGCAACGTTTTGGATCTCAGTAAGTCGTTTAGTTTACAGGTATAGTTAGTGATCTGGTCCGTACGTCACGATATAAGGACCTTTGTCTTACGAAAACAAGATAATTTTTTTTCATTGACACAAAAAGAGACAAAGAAGCTTTGCGTTCGATTTTCGGGGTGTTTACAGTTAGGCGGTCATTGGGTGAATGGCGTTGCCAATCTTGAAACCGGAACGCACCATTGCCTTTATGCCGAAGCAGCGTATTGGTACATTCTCGTGCAAGATCATGTGCGAACACTTGTATTAGTAAAAAGGAGGGTGTTTTGGGCATTTAATTGGTTTTTCTGGGTTAACTGGTTTCTGCCCCGTAGACTGATGACTTGCGGCGATATGCTGGGAAAGATTGGATGCGGAGGGCGGAGGATCGTTCATTGTGGCGGACTATGGGAGAGACCTACATCCAGCAGTGGAGAGATATAGGATGATGATGAATTGGTTTTTATTTTTATTGTAGACAGACGAGCATACGGCCCACCTGATGGTGAGTGGTTACCGTCGCCCATGGACGTCAGCAATGCCAGGGGCAGAGCCAAGCCGCTGCCTACCGTTAAATACTCTCCACAAGCTTTGCTTTAAGAAGGACATCTCATAGCGCTCGGAAAACAACGGGGAGAGGAGCTCATTCCAGTAATAGTATTATCGTCCTTTATTTAATTTTCGTTCTTGTTGTAGGCTGCCCAAAGGTTGCTGTTACTGTGTGTGTTTATGTATGATTTGTATTCGGGTTCACCATTTAATTTGATTTGTAGATGTCTGTAGACAACCACTTAACACCAGGTGGGCTGTGAGCTCGTCTGAACTGTACTGATCTAAATCTGAGTGAAAGGCAATAAATTATTTTATTATGATTATTATTCCAAAGCCAGATGGCACGTGGCAGAAAATATTGCTGGAAACGCTTAAATAAAACTTTATATAAAACTAAATAAAAATTTACTGGTGGTAGGACATCTTGTGAGTCCGCGCGGGTAGGTACCACCGCCCTCCCTATTTCTGCCGTCAAGCAGTAATGCGTTTCGGTTTGAAGGGTGGAGCAGCCGTTGTAACTATACTTGAGATCTTAGAACTCATATCTCAAGGTGGGTGGCAGCATTTACGTTGTAGATGTCTATGGGCTCCAGTAACCACTTAACACCAGGTGGGCTGTGAGTTCGTCCACCCATCTAAGCCATAAAAAAAAAAAAAAATTAAAAATAAATATCAATAGTTCTAATGAGTATTGAATTTTGCAGACGATTCCGATCTGATATCGTGCGACATAATACAGAAGGATGGCACGTGGCAGCACAGGTTCTTGGCCGTCGACAACATGCAGATAATACTCGTCGAGCCGGACAAACAGAGGCTCGGGTGGGGAGTCGCCAAACTGGTGGGAAGCCTTCAGGATTTGGAGGTAACTTTGATGGAATGAAAACGTTTAGGTACGTCGTGCTGTGCGTACTTACAAGTAATTGTAGGTGTAAGAAATCCCTAATACTATTTTTTTAAAAATCGACGATTGGTAATACTTTTTTAATTATGATTACTGGCAACCCTAAACTTGTTAATGTGAAATCAACATCTGTAAGTGTGAAGTATATATAGGTTTCATTCTCAGCCTTCTGATTGATCGTAAATGTATATTACCTAATAGAAAAGGAGTAGAGTAAATTAAAATAATGATAATTAAAAACAATCTCGCTTATTTTATTGTTATTAGATCCGACGTTTCAAATGATTTACAGTTTTCGTGGTCACGGACGACAATGTTCGTAAAAGTAGTTTTAATTAGGTCTACGACTCTCGAATGGCGGAGAAAAACGAAATAGCCCCTGTTCGAGTTGATATCGCGCGTATTCTTAATATCCACTTTTTTATTACTTGGATGGGTGGACGAGCTCACAGCCCATGCTGTTAAGTGGTTACCGGAGCCCATAGACATCCACAACATAAATGCGCCACTCACCTTGAGATATAAGTTCTAAGGTCTCAAGTATAGTTACAACGGCTGCCCCGCTCTTCAAACCGAAACGCACTACTGCTTCACGGCAGGGTGGTGGTACCTACCCGTGCGGACTCACAAGAGGTCCTACCGCCGTCTGTTCAGATCCAAGGCGATAAGGAAGATCCGTGCTGCCTCCACTTGACTATACACAAGCCGCGGGTGGGCGCGACGGGCGCGCTTCCCAGGACGCTACTGCTGCGGGCCAAGTTCAAGTTCGACGACTACATACGCAGCATGGCGGCCAAACAGAGGCTCATTAAGGTATACGATATATACTAAGTTAATATTACTCTTATTGATGACTAATTCAAATTGTAAACACAATGTTAAACTGAGAAAGTTAAGTTTGATTTCAAGTTGGTGTTTACATTTTTTTTTATTGCTTACATAGGTGGACGAGCTCACAGCCCACCTGGTGTTAAGTGGTTACTGGAGCCCATAGACATCTACAACGTAAATGCGCCATCCACCTTGAGATATAATTTCAGAGATCTCAGTATAGTTACAACGGCTGCCACGCCCTTCAAACCGAAACGCAATACTGCTTCACGGCAGAAATAGGCGGAGGGGTGGTACCTACCCGCGCGGACTCACAAGAGGTCCTACCACCAGAAAATAACCACCACCACTTAGAAATGTAAGCTCAGTAAATTTACAAAGGTCGCGGCTCTTAACGCATCCCCATTGCACGTGACATGAGTGCAAACAAACTATAAAAAAAATAGCCTCAAGTGACATAATGCGTCATGATCCGTATCCAGTTTGACGTAGATAATGCATAAAAAAATGTTAGAATTTTTTGAATAGTTAGTCGAAATGTAAGCCATTGTTTTAGAAGTACAGTGATGAAGTTCTCAATTAATAGTTATCCCGGTAACCGTTATCGTCGAACTCGGCAAAGAGTTTGACGTGCAACCTAACCCATGCATCAGCCCGCTGTTTCTCGCGGGATCTTCTCAGCGGGTCGCGATTGAGATCCGGTAGTAGATTCTTTCGCGAAGCAGTTGCTTTTCAGTTGTTATGTCTTCTTCGGAGGCGCTCAGGCAGCTGTTAGCTAACCCCAGCCCTCCTGGTTGAGCCTTTGCTCGCCCACATGTCCTGGTGAAACTGGAAAGGCCTCCGGGCTACCAGTAATCTTTCAAACATAAAAAAAACGTGGAATTCTCTCTCTCCGATTGAGATCAGAACCTTGATCAGCTGACTGGAAGGAAATAATTGACAGGGTCGCATGAAGTCCCGCCAGAAGAAGATGCAGCAGATCGGGCGACTGCTGGAAGTGTCGGGAGTGTCCGCGCCCCCCGCCGCGCCGCGCCCCCGCCCCCTGTTCTCCCGCCCCGGCCTCTCGGCGATCAGGAGATCTACAGGTTCCGTACAATCTCGCACATTCTAACCAACACGATTCGTCTTTTCGCATTAAAAGTGTACAATTTCCAAATTGGAAACTGAGTTAATATTATGCGGAATCATTTGGTTATCACCAGTATTTTTGCCATAAATACTGTCAAAAGAGCGTAGTTTAGCTTTTTTTTTTTTATTTAGTTTTCCTATGTTTTTAATACTATTAACAAAATTAATACATAATTTTATCTTACTTTAAAAGACAGATAATGTAACTGGTAAAAAATAAAAAATAAATTTTGTTTATTGTCAAACTTTTCTTATTGCATAAAGTCTATGGTCAAATTGAGAATAGATTAAATATTGTTTGTCTTTGTTAATATTTGTCTAAAGTGTAGTCTTGGCGAAATCTGTGTTTATAGAAGTATAATAAATAGTATTTGACAATAGAACCATAATAATGTTCAAACTTATAATTTCAATTAATTATAGTCCAATTTCGACTACCGGGGAGAACCACTAGTAAAGATAAAAAGCCAGTGAAAGACCAAACAACCTTGTTCATCACACGAGCGTTTGCTCGATGCACTAAAGTACCCTATTGTTATAATGAACACGCCGGAATGGAGCTTAACGTCAACTGTCAAAAAACGATCACCCTGTCAGGGTGGGAAAATGAAACAAAGCCGCTGGACGTAACTTCTCGGGATCCTCCAAAAAGTCCACTGAAAAAATCTCAGTAAATGACCACCATTTAACTGAGATTATATTTCAATTAATTTCATCCCAGTTGATTGATGTCTTAAATTAATCATCTTCATTTCATTTCACTTCATATTATCATTTTCCATAAAAATATCCCATATTATATCATATCATCTCATTTCATTTCATGCCATGTTTCATACAGGTATTAATCAACATCATTTCATTTCATTAAAATAAAAAATATATATAAAAGATTAGGCTGTATGGTATGATACCTTTGCCTTTCCATTTGGAAAAATTAAACTACTACTACTACTACTCACCCTGTTAGGAAAAGTTTCTTCTGTTTTGTACCGCGTTTTCGGGAACACGTAAAAAATGTTCCAACGTTACTTTCAATTGCATTCTATGTACTTGTGTGGTGTTAAAATAAAGGATCGACAAGTTGCGGTGTTTGCTTACTGTACTTCTACACCTATGTAACCTTGAAATTTCTATAAAGGAGGCGACGGCGACGACTCAGAGCGGAGGCTCCGAAGGCCTAGCGGTCACTTACTGAAAGACGGCATCGTCGTCTATCGAGAACGAACCACGAGCAGAGAAAGGTCGGTACACACCTACAAAAGTTAATTTCGAATTTAATTCTTAACGTGTAGCTGATTAAAAAGTTTCTTAACTCTAATATTCAAGCCTTCGACTCGGGTCGCAATTTTCCACAATGCAATCGGGTGGCAATTTTCCTTGGTGCACAATGTACTATAGTTAGTTATTTGTGGCGGTAGTCATCGCAGAACACAAGATATTTGACAGATGCCTGAATCTCACTTACGACGTTTTCAAGATAAGCTTGGATGTTTAAAAGTTCTGAACAACAACATCGGATCCGTCGGTCTACCGAGCAATATCACCCGCTCGGTGGAAGATCTTCCCTTTGTCGTAAACCCACATATTAAAGTTTTGCTTATTGTCTAAATGTTAGTAAGAGTTATTTTTTGTTATTGTGAAGGCTCCTTCCTCTAGTCCTTTCCACTGATCTGTCCTTGCCGATAGTTTACCAGTCTTTCTTTATTATTTCGATTATTTCACTTTCATTTTATTAACCTATTTAAATTATCATATAAATATATGAGTTGTATTTAATTGCATTCACAACTAATTTAAGTATTATATTATTAGCTTTCTCTATTATTTCGATTATTTCACTTTAATTTTATTAACCTATTTAAATTATCATATAAATATATGAGTTGTATTTAATTGCATTCACAACTAATTTTAGTAATAAAACTGCACTTTTCTTTTGAGCATACTAAATAAATTTCAATAGATACGTATCTCTTTGGAAGCTTTTATCGTTTTGTTAATATAGTCAAACAGGTATATTGACACTATGTTGGCATTCCAGTAGCGTGTCGAGAGGAAGCAGTGGTTCCCGAGAGGGATCTCCGAGGGGCCACCAAGAGGAAATACCACTCGAAGACATACGGAGGAACGTTGCCTCCACCAGCGCCGCAACTCCAAATGTCGTACAGCAGATAAATGTAATTGGAAGATATCAATAATAATTCAGTTAATAACAAAAAAGATTTTAGGTGCAAAGTTTGAGAACCGTCATGTCGCGTCATGTTCATTATTATCATGACACCTGGCTGTATGGACTAAAGTCTTTTGCCTTTCCCATTAGGGATAAATTAATATCATCATATTATTATGACAATTGAATGTCAAGAAACTATTCAATGTGAGCACTTAAAATGGACTATATAATTTCGTCCATATTAAAAGATATAAACGAACGTATAAGAATTATTTAAACTACAATTTCCTCAAAATGAAACCTTACGGTGGTATGTCAATAGTCAAATGCTCATTTGATTTTAAAGAAAGTATTTATCGGTCGTACCAGATGGGAATCCTTTTATTTTTATTTTTAAGTACTTTACAGTTACAGTTGCAGTTACTTTTACTTTACAATTACAGTTATGTTCGATCTTTATTTAATGTAATCTGTTTCTCGTATTTGCCAAATTTGTTTTCGTAAAGAAAAAAGGCCTTAGCACGAGATAGGTTGACTATACCTAGCTACGTTTGGCATGATGTCGTCCGTTGATCTTGTAACACGTATTAAATAAAAAATCCATTATATTGCTACGCCGGTAAGAGTAACGCCACCTATCGCCGAATAGTCGAAACGAATATCAAAGGAACTAGTAACGTCAAGAACGCTCGAGAAGTACAACGCCATCTATTGTCTGATAGCGGAAACACATCGAAGTTACTCGACTTGTGAGGAATGTTGTCGATAAATCTAGGGATGTCGTATCGACTATAAAAGCGCTGCAGGGTTGGCACGCCGTCACTTGGTAATCGGAACTACTCGAAACGAAACAGCGAACGGATCACCTGAAGCAAAGCGGGAGAAGGGAATTAGAATTTTAAGGTGTTCGTTAAGTGTTCTAAGTGTTAATACAGTACTGTACCTCAGCAGAATTTTTATTTATCCCGAACTCCAGCGCGTCACATTATAAGTATCACCCTTTTTGTTGAATGTAAACGAGTAGTTCTAATCGAATTAATCATTCGCAGACACAACCGAGTACGTCCCAGGCGAAGACCCGAAGCAATTCGTCTGAGGAAACCTCGTTTATATCGGGCGAAGCGCCGCGAGCGAAACGGAGAGGCCTCGTCGAGACTATTTGATACAGGACCGGGCGCGGGCTGCCGGACCCACGAATTAACTAGAAAAGGTAATTAATGTATTACGTAAAGCTATTGAGGTATAGGAATCGGCCCTCGATACCTTCGGCATAAACAGAAATAAAAAAAAAAAAACGGTGCGCGTACAACTTGGTGCACGTGAATGAAGTGAAACTTCTTTTTCGATGTATGTAGTATTGTGGTTTTCTTCATTTTTTATCCTTTAAATCAGATTGCCATTGTAATGACAAATGCTGTGTATGAGAGATGCGACATCTTTAACATTTATATTATATATATTTTAAATTATAGATAGATAAATAAATAAATATATATATTTTTAAATACTTCATTAAAATATTGGACGGTTCTAGTTGCTAACACTCGTGCTAGCCTGCAACAGGTATACAACGCGCGTGCGTCCGAGTGCCACGCATTCACTCTCGCTCTGTCTCTTTTTATTCCATGGTAGCGTTAAACGTTTAACGCAACCTTGTTGGAAGTCGCGTTAGAAGTTTCACTTCAAAAAAACAATTCTATAAAACATAAGACACATTGTCCATTTTTCTGCTTAACACTAATCATACCAACACCTTCTGGTACCTATTTCTACCATAGCGGCTAGATAACGATTATGGCAAGTAATACTTATAATAACTTGATTAATTGAAGTAAGTAAGAAGTCAGAAAAAGTCATGATATGTGCAAAAGCAATAAGATGATACATGTATTTGCAATACAAAAACTCAAAATGGACCATTTGACCAACGTATGCTTAGTGTGTGGTATGTTTAATGTTAATTAAACTTGAAATGATATGTGTATAAAATAATGGAACAAGTAAAATTAATATTTAATAATTTATTTGATAATCATGAAATTTTATATCAAAGCATCAGTTATTAAGGTCATGATGAAGTTTTAAATCAATTAGTGTTTTAATAATATCCCTTCTTTAATAATACGTATGACTTTTAAAAACTGTCATGTTAAGTTATAATATTTCACTTTAACACTTAGATATCTGTCTCTTTCTCTTTTAACGTGTGTAAATAAGAGCGATAAAGACGGAATTATTTCGTGTTTTTGACGATAATACAAATAAATGAGAAATTACGGTGGTTAATAAGAAATGTTTTCTAGTGTAGATTCGATTTCAATAACTAATAATAATGTAGAAGAAAAAAAATGTAACGAGCTCAATATGTGACAAATTGTAAGTTTAGAACAAAAATGTTGGTTAAAACTTGTTAAGTTTGGTGTTGCTAACTTAAAAAAATGTGAATAAAAAATCAAAGCTTGCTTATGGTTAGGGTTGACAATATAGTGGTTTTTTTTTTCAAACTTTAATATGGATGTTTATTTAAAAATAGATGTGTACGAAAAATACAAACAATCCTTTCATAAATATGTAAATATAAATGAAATTAATAAAAAAGCTTGTAGGTAACAAATTTGTGCGCCTTCGAATAAGGCTCAACAATTGTATACACCAGTGATAAATAAAAACGATAATTGAAAATAAAAATTCGATTATAACTTATTACAATTGTTTCTAATTGTATGACCACAGATAATTCTAAATAATTATTGACTAATGGAAGCCAACACAACACAGCAACATTACAGATCTGATTTTACAATTAAAAATTGATCATTGAATAAATGAATTTAATTTTTTATTTAAACCAATATTAATTAAAAAATACTAGATTAGACAAAAGTAGATGTATTTGTTTAAATTGCATTAAAAAAAATGTCGTTTCGCGTCCATTTATATAGTATTCTTAAGAGTTTTCTAAACACGATACCTTTTAATGCCTAAAATAGGTTTTAATATATTTATTTTGAAAGCTTACGTTCGTTACATTATGCGCTGTGAATAAATCTTAAGCTAAATTGTTACGTAATTCCCCTTAGTCGATTTCTATGAAAAAAATGAGTTCTTCTTATACAGGGTGTACTGAAATTGTTTCCAAAACGAAGACAACTTCTGATGTATGTAATTGCCTAATATGCTACCATGTAAATTATGTTCAAGAAGTTATGTTTAATATATAATAGCATGATATGTTCTATGTGCGATTTCTAAGCCCTTGATTAGAAGCACTGGAAGTAATTACAAAGTCGAAAGATCAAGGGTTACCACGTAAATATGAGTCTCTCTTCGATCGGTCCCTCACTGCTGAGGATAGTGACTCCGTCCGATTCCGTCAACCAGCTGTCTCCATCGATCCCGCCCTGCAGCCCGGTGGAGTGCGTCACTGACAGGTATCCCCAGTTCCTCCGCTATTTGGTCCGACCAACGTTTGAGACCTCTACCCCTCTAAATATGAGTAGGTATACTAAAACAACAAGTTTTATGCTTTTCCTTCTCATGTACTGCACCTCAGCTGTACTAAGCGCGACTGTTCTTTGCTTCTTAGCCTTCCAACTTATTGTTGTTCCGTCATATGTAAATACGTAGCCTGTCACTGAGCGACGATTAATGGCGTACGATGCCCAATCAGCATCAGCTGCTCCTTCAAGTTTCATGTTTCCTTTTATGTAAGTCAGACCTAAGTCTTTAGTTCCTTGTAAATATCGCAGAACTCTTTTCGTGGCTTTAAAATGTTTAGGTGTCTAGCAGTTGTTAAACTGGCTAAGTTTAGTTATTTCAGTCCTGTATCCATGGGAGTAGATGCGGGTTTCCAATCTTTGCTACCAAATTTTTCTAATACAGTTTCAATATACTGTCTTTGTCTCAGTATCATTCATCTCTTTTGAAAGTTATTCCGAGACAGTAATTAATTTCACCCAAGTCTCTCATTTCAAATCTCGGTATAAGTAATTTCTTAATATTGTCATTTTTTCTTGAGATTTGCATACAATTATAATATCATCCACATATATGCTAATAATAATAATAATTTCTCCGCCTTTCGCGTATATGTACATACATGAATCAACTTTGGTAGGCTTGAAACCTATTGCTTGTAATTCGGAATCTAGTTTCTTGTACCACTATCGTCTTCCTGACTGTTTTAATCCATAGATGGCTTTATTTAACTCGCATACTGTGTTTTATTTATTTTGCTTTAAATCATGTAGCATTTTTGTAGCTTTTTGTTTCATTTCTGCATCATTTTTGTATTTAATTATCTTTTCTAGATATTCTTCTATATTTTTTTCCTTAATGTTTAAAAATGCAGTACAAATATCAATCTGGTCCAAATGCTTATCTTTCTGTACAGCGAAAGCCACTAATAATGTTATTGAACTTAGTCGAGTCACAGATGCGAAAACTTCCTGGTTTTCAACACCGGCTATTTGTGACAATCCTCGGGCCACTAATCGAGCCTTTTTGCGTACAATATTGCCATCTGTTCCTAATTTATCTTTCAGAATTATCTTGCTGTCAATGACGTTTCTATAAGTCGTTTTCTTAACAATAGACCAGGTATCATTTTTTAAGTATGCTGTTATTTCAGAAATTATTGCATCGTTCCATTTTGGATCGTCTTTTGTCCAAACTGGTTGTTTTCTAGTTCTTTGAGGTCTTTCATTCTCTAAAATATAATTTCTTTCTATCGCCTCAGCGTCTGTTACTTCGTTGCGATCTGCAACAGAATTATCCTCAGTTTGTATTGTCTCATTTTCAATTACTTCATTATGATCAAAAATGTTTTCATTGTTTTGTTGCAGTTCATTTTGCAGTTGGAATAAAAAATAAAAAATTGTATGTAATTCTTTATCTACGAAATTATCATTATTAATTATGTACTTAACCTAATAATGTGAACGCAACCTCTGAATTCTATTCAACTTTAATATTTAAATTAATCACAGCATGAATAAAGATGTACGTATGTGAGTGATAATTAATTATGGATGGCCAATTATTCAACGTTAAAAAAAGTATTATTGTAGTAAATTTTACGACAGCTAGCTAATGGTTAGTGTTTTGTGTTTGCGGCGAGGCTTGGGAGAGGCTTGTGTCCAACAGTGGGACATCTGTGGACTGAGAGATAGAAAACAATTTTTTTAATTCTCAACAGCGAAAATTTCTACTCAATTATTAAATATATGGTTGCATAAAAATGTCATGCTTGAACGAGGCTGTGAATTACGTTCCGAGCCAGTGATGGTGTGAAAATGCAGCTCGGTATGTTGAACTGTGAGTTTAACCTTTAAAGCGTGAACCGTCGATAGATCGACTCATCAATGCGTATAAAGTGATTGATTATAGGTATTAGGTAAGGACCTGTAAGGACGTATTTAAGCGCGCGAATGTATAACCTTTTTAATAAGTTAATAACATTTATAAATAACCATTTAAAATGATATTGATGTGAATTTGGCGTATTTTTTATAAGTTAAAGTTTTTTATAAGGTACTTTTTTCAAAAATCCTTAAGAAAATTCTGCAAAATGTGCGAAAATAAGCTCAGCGCGAAAAGGGTTCAGTGCTGCAAATCCATATGCAAAATTTACAATAATACCCAAAAGTATCTAATAATAATACTATCTAATAATAATAAGAAAAATGCAAAAATCAGTTTTCTGTTTATGAGCGTATCTTTAAACAGAGATAGCATATAAGAATGTATTGTACAGTCTGATGATTTTTTAAAATGTTAGGTGTGTGACTAAAATATAAAAATGGACCTTATCTTTTTCAGTCTAAGTACTGTTTTTAACTGTTTTTTTTACTTCGTTTTTTCTTGTTCCTTCGTAATATGAATGTTCATGTTCTGAGCGCACTTCTATTGGTTGTACTGTGTTATTTGTAAATACTATTATAATTTTGTGTTTTCGAAGTTGTGAAATATTTTGAGAGTAGCAATAAATAAATCTGTGTAAATAATGGGAGTTGGATGTTTAAAGATTTTGTGTTAAAAAAATAAATATTACTATTGTTGTTAACAAAGTTTGTTTTTGTTTTTCGTATCCCAAAATGTCATAGTGTTGGTTTTGCACTTCGTCAGACGAACGAACTCACCGCCAACTGGACTTAAATTGATTGAAATTGCCTTGAATTGATGGAGCTCTGACAAATGGGGTCGAAATCTGCGCTACTCTGCGAAACACGTCATGATACTTTCTTGTAGGGACCCATTATGTCCCATATCCTATTAATTACGCGGATCCATGGAAAGCAGCATAAATAGATAACTTACTGGTGGTGGTAGGACCTCTTGTGAGTAGGTACCACCACCGTGCCTATTTCTGCCGTGAAGCAGTAATGCGTTTCGGTTTGAAGCACGGGGCTGCCGTTGTAACTAAACTGAGACCTTAGAACGTATATCTCAAGGTGGGTGGCGCATTTACGTCGTAGATGTCTATAGGCTCCAGTAACCACTTAAACCAGGTGGGCTGTGAGCTCGTCCATCTTAACAATATAAAAAAACTTTTTTGTTCAGTTTCTGAACGTCAAACAGTCAGCGAGCGACGTCCGCCATGACACTTTTTCTCTTTCAAATCCAGCCTCCAAGAACAGCGCATCAATTTTATATTTCTCTTATATTAAGTCTTCAGTTTGTCATATAAAGGCAAAATAAATATCTCAAAACAATAAATGCAGTCCACACAACGCAATTTTACCATTATCTACAGAATGTGCCCCGCGACTTCCCGCCCTAAATAGATAAATAAGACAGTGAACACACATTGCCTTTT